TATAATATAAAAATTTAAAGCTAGACACAAAATCTTTATTTCAAATTTCCTAAAAACAAAACAAAATTATTTAAAAATAAAAACAAAAACCCGAAAAAAAAAATTTAAAGAGAAAATTTAAGTGAAACCATAATAAAAATAGAAAATATTCAGACAAGGGTGTGTAATTCATTCACAATTCACATCAGTGAATAATAAAATAAAAAAGAGAAAAATACTAATAATAATAACAACCGAAAGGAATAAGAAAAAAAAACACAAAAGTAAAGTACATACAAGGAATAAAACATCGAAAAGGACAAACACACTATGTTCTATAGTAATAAAATTTGTAAATAAAATACAGTCAAATCCTTCTAACACGAAGTCCTGTATAATTTGAATTCTCGTTTAACTAACCAAACTATTTTATTATATTTTGTATGGTAAACAGAATTTTCTTGAATTTTTTAAGTTCCTCACATGAAACCTTTATAAATTATTAGCTCTGTGGAATATTATCAAATTAATGGAATTTTTAACCTATTTTGCTTCCGAACTATAAAATATTTATTGGTTTATATCAGCCTTAAAAAGAGCTTAAAAGTTTTCTATTTATGAATGTATTTTAATCGAAAATTTTTTTGATAATTTCATCCAAATACTTTTCAAATTCGAATTCATTCGTTAATTATAAATTCACTACAAAAAATTATTTTCACTTTAAGGAGATTCGACTGTATATTTTATATATGTATCTAGATATTTATCCCTATATCATATATGTGAATAATATATATATATTCTATTATATCCATTTATTTATGTGTATATATAATATTTAGTACATATGTATATATTTAGTTTGCCCAACATTATATGAGTATTATTATAATTTATCCTATATACATATATATATATATATATATACATGTATGTATTATAAATATCACATTATAACATTATATACACATATAGCTGTGTTAAATATGTTCACGTATATAGATAACAGACATTATATTACATATGTTACACTGTTACAGTTATGATTATCCTTATTTTTTTTTTTGTTTTTCTTCCTTTTTTTATTTTTTTTTTATATAGATGGTGTCATTTTAACTTTATATTGTTCCCTATATACCATTATTGCGCGGCATGCAAACTTCATATATGATGAGAAAAAAATAATAATAATAATAATAAATAGAGAAGAGAAAAAAAAAGGACAGGATGAAAACAAGTGAGGAAAAGAAAACGTCACGACATAAAAATATTCGCCTGATCCTTTAGTTTTATTTTTTGTAGTTGTTTTTTTTTTACTCTTGATTTTGTGTTGCTTTTTGATGCAAAAACTTTTCTTATTTATTTTTATTTATTTTTATTCTCTATATTTTTTTTTTGTTTTTATTATTTTGATTTCTTTGTTTTGTTATTATTCTCATTTAACGATTTTTCCCGATACAAAAAAAAACAAGAGAAACACAACAAAAAAAATTCATAATTTTTCATTTACTTTCCTTTTTGTTTGTTTGTTTCGGTTTTTGTTTTATTTAAATTTTTTTTTTGTTATCCTTTTATTATCCTTTATAATATTTCTTTAATTGTAGAGTTTTCGAAATTATTTTCAATTTTATTATTTTTTTTTTTGTTTATTTTTATATTGTATTTTTATACTTTGATATTTTATTGAATATTTTAAATGGTGCCGACATTTTTGTTTTCACTACTGCTGATGTTTTTTTTTTGTTTTCATTCTATTATATTTTTTTTTTATTATTTTTTAAAAAAAGGACATTTTTCGCGTTATTATTTTCATTTTCGTTTTATTTATTATTAAAAAAAAGACAAAAAAAAGCAACAGAAATGACAAAACAACAATAGTAAGAAAAAGTACAACAGTTTTACAATATAGAATGAGGAAAAAAAAAAATTCGAATTTTCTCTCCGATTCAAATTTTATTCGTTTTTAACAGTTATTTTCTCACCGACTGAACGATTTCTACTGAACAAAATTATTATTATAGAGATAATAATAAATTTTTTTTCTACCTTTTATTTTTCGATTAGATAAAAAAAAAAAATAAAATAAAATAAAATTTTAGACGATTTTTTTTTTTCATAAAAATTCACCTTAAATATTTAATTGCTTTTATTCACCATATTTTAATGTAGAAGGGGATTTTATTGTTACACTGACTGTGATTGTGATTTTATGGTGTTATTATGAAAATTTTTTTCTGTTATGTTAAAAATGGAAATGATATGTTAATTTATTTACATTACACTATACATTAAAATTTCTATAATATTTAATTCTGTCTAATAATTCTGTTTAATATTTAATTCTATTTAATGTTAATGGTGAGTTTAAATTCTTTTAAATTGAAAGTAAACAAACGAATGACGATTATATTCTAAATTCACCAAAATGTTGATAATGGGAAATTATCAAAATGTTGATAATGTGAAACATTGCCAAACAAAAAACTGTTTATTTTGTGTCTCATAAATAACAGTAAATAATTTTATGTTGTTTAAACTAAAATCTACATTTATGTTATGTTATAAGGCCCCTGTGATCCTTTTATCCTTTTTTTATCTTATTCTTTTAAGTATTTTTTTAGAACTGTTATTATTACATAACATAAAATTTGAGAATTTTAAATATTACATATTTAAAATTCTCAAATTTTATGTTATGTAATGTAATGTTATATTACAAGTTTAATAAATTTTTCGATGTTATTTTGCATGTTATTACTATAAATAATAAAAACGTAAATATGAGTGGCCAATATTTTTTACTGAAAGTAATGAATTTATTACTCTTCAATTTGATATTTCAGAGTAAGGAAAATAATAACAAAATATTAATATAACATTTAGTCAAAATATACAAACTGTTTTCAAACTAAAAAATATTATTATGTTTGCATACGACCGGCAATCTGTATTAATTTTAATAAAACCTATAATTTTAATTTTAGTTCCAAACTTCATATTCCAACAAAGTAAGTATAAAGGCTAACAATATATTTTATAAAAAATTATTTTCTATACTTTTCAACACATTTTTAATATTTTATAGTTCATTATAATATTTTTTACGCTTGAAGAATTTTCATAGTTTTAATATACCAACAACGTACATCCATACATGTAAAATGTATTATATTTTTTACTATAATATTATATGAATTTCATTTAACAGGATACAAAGAACCGGATATAAAACATTTTGTGTCAATGTTTTACATGTTATTTTAAAAGATTTAATATTTTTATTTTTATGTTTTATTTGTTATTCTTTTATATTTTTATTTTTTTCTTAATTTTCTTTTAAACTATATTATGAAAAGTAAGAGTTAAGAGTCAAGGATTTATGTTTATTTCAGAATAAAATACAGAACAAGGACAACATTGGGCGGTTTTGTAAATAGAGAAAAAAAAAATAAGGATATTTAGAAAATTTATGTATTTTTTTTTCCCCATACGTTTTTGTTCACATTTCAATTTATGCTCATATTGTGATATGAAAATGTGTGTATGTATATATAAAACATTGAAATTTTCTATAGTAAAACTAAATGCGGGTGTTTTTAAAATGTTAAGGGGACAAGAAAATGAATGACTCATATAATTTTTAAAATATGTAACATAAATAATATAGATACAAGAAAAGAGTAACATGGTTTTTAATTTTCATGGCCATTGAAAATAGCAATAAAAACTAAATATACATATTGAAAACTATAGGGAACAGAATACGCATATATTAAGCATTATGAGAAATGAGGACAGAATTTATAAAACTGGAGAATATATTAATGATATTGATAATTATGAATATATTAAAATATTTTAAATGCAACTATGTTTCCAAACTCAAAGCATATAAAATACAATTCTAACGCAGTTTTTTGCAATTTAAAACAAATTTGTTTTATATGCACAACACTGCATTATAATATAAAAATATTTGGAAATTGTATGTATTTTATAAAAATAATTTGTTTATGAGGTTGAATGTTTTTTATGTAATTTCTTAATGACTTAATAATAATAATATTATATAGAGGACTTTTTGTGTATTTTGTTATGCAAACAAAAAAAAAAATTTTGAAATCATTATGCACAGGACATTTAAGTGTACATTATTCAAATAGCAGAACAAATAGCTAATTTGAATAGTACTGCATTTTAAAAGTGTCACAAACATATTGGAAATTTATTTTCATTTAAGTTGAAAGTCGAATACAATAAAAATGAATTTTCATTTGCTTGACTATAAAACAATACTCGTATGCTACTATTACTCATTAAAAGCAAATTTTCTATTACCAGAATGGGGTATACCCTAGTTCACGGAGAACAAAAATTGGTTCTTTTGTTGCTTGAGACAGTAGCTTAGCTGCAGCTGCTTAGTATGCATTGAATTTGAAATTAACACCGATATTCTGTTAGCCGCATCACCTGACGTGATGGATTATTCTTGAGAAATCTTGAAATTTTCTGATTAAAATTAATTTCAAAATTCGATATTTTATACAAAAAAAAAAACAAAACTATTTTCAATAATATCTCATCACCTGGAGTAACGCGACTAACAAAATATGGGTTTCGGTTTAACACTTCTATTCTATTTTTCACCTCAATGCAATATAGCACGGACAACAATCATCTTTTGTGGCTTTTCACATTTTTTTCACCATTTCTTTCCTCACAAGGATTTTTATGGTGTGTTATTCGTTAAAATATGGTGAAGTCATAAACTATTCACCATAAATTTTTTATCTACATTTTGTGGTGAAGTGGTAGAAATATACTTTTTCAACGACGACGAAAAAAATAAATTACAAATAGAAATTTACGTGTTCGTTAAAAATCAATAACAATTATTTTAAAGAAATTCTCGTAAGATGTCAGTGTAGTAACGGTTATATTAAAAGTAATAAGGAAAAAAAAAAACAGTTTAAAGTCGATTCTTATGCTATGGTGCTAACAAAATTATTTGAACTTACTTTTCTTCTATGATAGTTGTGGGTAATAATTGTCTTCCTCTCAAACCATTTAAAAAATGTTTGCCACGGTGTGGTGTTAATGGTTGCGATTGCTGTTGTTGTTGTTGTTGTTGCTGCTGTTGCAAATGGTTTCCTAGTGCACCAATACTACCATCCGATAAATAGCCATTATCAATTTCAAGAAATCTTGAAGATAAAACTGGAACTTTACGAAATGTTTCCCCACCATCGCTCATATAACCTTGTCCAATATCAATATCACCATTTGAATATTCAGTAATTAGATATTGAACTTTTTGATTGGTACGTGTCGGAAGTATTGTCACATGACTATTATAGCCTTCTAATAAGGGTTTCATGGGTGTTATATTGATAGTTTGTTCTTCTTCATATGAATCAGTATTTGGATTAGTACCATTTAAACTTTTAGCTGGTGATTTATTTATTGTCAATGATTCATTTATATTGTTTTCTTCACTAATTGACTGAAAATCAACACCAATCGTTTTCATATTTCTGTTATTAATCAAATTATTGTTGATACTATTAGAAGAATTTATATCATTGTCACAATTTTTAAGGATACCATTTAAAATTGGTGCTGGTTTAATACACGGAACTAATCCGTTATTGATATTTAATCCGTTATGTTGATGCGGATGTGTAGGTAAAGGACGAACAATATGTGTTTTTGATTGTTCAGAATTATGTTGTTGTGAATTAACAACACCATTATCACAGCTATTCTTTGATATGTCCTTTTGTGAATCTTTTGCCATTAAATTTGATTTATCATCGGAATTGATATGCATATTTTTAGTTTGTCCTTTAATAGCTGCCATTGGTTTTGGTATTCCTGTGTTATTATTGTTGTTATTATTGTTTGATAGGTTACTTGAATTTGATCTCACCATACCACTATTCAATTTTGAATCAGATGATTTTGTATTTTGCTCAGAAGATGATGATTTAAGTGCTGATTTCAATTTTTCTTGTTCAGAATTTGAATTTTTTGAAGAATTTTTTTGTGATTTAATTATTCCTTTTTCATCCTTTATAGATGATTTTGCAGGACTTTTATCTTTTGTTTGTTTTGAAGAGTTTTTCTCAGGATTTGAAGATTGTTTTGAATGCTTTTTAACAGAAGATTCTTTATTACGATTAATTTCATTATTAGCAGTAGATATTTTAGAAGTCGTTTTCATCTTCGTAATTGAAGGTGGTATATGATTAAGACTTGAACTTGAATCGCTCCTTTCACTACGAGCAGAAGAAAATCCACTACTGGAACTAGTACGCTCGGATTTAGTAGATGAATTTGATGAAGATGATGATTTTTCGCTTTTAAATAATTTGAATTTATCAAGCATTGAATGTTTAGGTGGAGGTGGATTTGCTGCCGGCAATGGAGGTGGTTTGTCCGAAGGCAGCATATTTGAAGATGAAGTAGTTGTGTGAGGTGAAGTTGTAGTTGAAGTTGTTGATGAATGCCCACCCATTTTCGGAGACGTAAATGGACTAGACGGTATTTTACATTGCGGTTGGCGCAAGCTGTACAGAAAAATAGGAGTTATGTATTTAATAGATTTACTGTTTTTAAGATTTGCAAATTTGTTTATTTTTCAGATGTTTAAAAGTATGTTATATTGTTTACCTACCCATTACTAACTTTCTGCGGTGATGACTGTAAACTAACATGTGGATGACTATTTATAGGGGAATTATTCAATGATCCAGAGCCACTACTGCTAGTTTTAGCCAATCCAGGTATACCTGAAATTCATTAAAAATAACAAAATCAAATTAAGAACAACTGTTGTTGCTACTTATAATAAAATATTACTTGGCACATGATTTGGTGTTGGTGGCAATGGCCTAACTTTATCCGGTGGACATCTTCGTTGCACTAATACTGTTGCTGGTAATGGTATCGCTGTTCCGTTGGTTTTGGAATAAGGCGTCGATTTTTGCCTGTAATATGTATTAGTAAAACTTAAATAAATAAGGTTTCAAATTTAAAAATTATATTAAAGTAATTATTTTTATTTTTAGGAGAGATTACGCAAACATATCTACAAGTGTTTTTATTAAAATCAAATGAAATTAAATCCAGAACAAATGAAGTTTTAAATCTTTCGAAATGTGCTTAAATATTTTCAGATTTTCTTACGGAAATGTTTAAATATTGAAGAGAGGGTTGAGACGGCATAATATGCAGACCACAAAATATCCTTTTCTTTTTTCTTTCAAAATTTCTAAGTTGGTTAAAAAAATTCTAATGCTTTAGCTTAACAATAGTATACAAAATTAAAACACCAGAATAGAAAGGAAAACTTAACTATTTTTTATTATTTATTTTTTTCTTTATGCTGCCCAAAAAAAAGTAAAATCTTTTTATAACTTTTACAACGGAACTACAACTTTTCCCAAATGTATTACCGGTTTTTCGACAGTAAAAATTAATAATGTTGCTTTTTTTTTCTTTAAATTTTCTTTACAAAAGTTTTGCATTTCTTAGAAGTAATAAAACATAAATTGTAGGTTATTAGGGTTTTATTGTTCCATTTCTAACACAAAGTTAAAAAGAAAAATGAGGTTGAATTTTCTGTTTTCCTATTGTAAATTGAAATCTTCATTTTGAGAGAGCAGAATATAGATGTGACGGAAAAATTTTCTGAGGTCCGCCTTAAATTCTTACTTAATAAGAAAAAAACAAAACGCGGTTGATTATGACCGCTCCACATCTATTTGCTTTATTACAGAAGCTAACAGAACAATAATATTATTAATGTTACGTAAAGCTACCCTATTAGTCGATTGTTTCACTATTAAATTTCTTGCTTTTGTATATACTTAATTCTCATTTGTTGAAGTTTATTGTTAACAGTTTATACTTATTTCATTTATAATTTAAATGAGTAAGTATGTACGTGTAAAAATTTACTTATATATTTGCATATTTATAATGCTATTATTAAATTGTAGGTGTACGTTAGTGTTTGTGCACAATATAAAATTGTGCACAAGGATCCTTCAAAAAAAATCGCAATACTAAGTACCTAAGCATAGTGCATTAAGACTAAATTAAAAAGGTTTTGGAATGAGGGGACAAATAAAAGACTGTTACAATGGTTTAAGGCTAAATGAATTGTTTTTCATTTTTTTGCTGATATTTATTATTGTTTTTTCTACTCCAAAAACATTAAAATAATGAAGTTTTCCAGAATGGAATCTGAAAGGCATGTTTTCTTTTCTGTTACATAAATTTTATAACGTTCCATTTACCAGTTCGAAATATTTAAAATATACTTACTAATGTAAGTATATTTAGATATTTGTATGTATGCAATTGTTTTAAATAAAAAAAAAGGTACAAAAATTTCCTGCCCAGACGATATGTCCTTGTTCTTGACTAATGGTATTTATGAAATTTATGTGTTGATGGCATTTTTGTAAAGATTTGTATCTCCTTTTATAATATTTTATGGCTACTGTTTTGAAAATTGTGGTGTAGAAGTAGAAGAGATGAAAATTTAAAAGAGGAAAAAAAAAACAGTTTTTGTTTTTTGTGTGTCTTGCAAAAGAATGAATATGAAATATGAGTGGGAGTTAATCTTTTATATAGAAGTTATATAATACCCAGAAGTTATTTAATACCCAGCAGGATTGGAGCTTGGTTTAAACAAAAGTGCGTGATACAACTTGGCGTTGTATGTGAAAAACTTTAATTCGAAATAATTTCAAATTGATGTTTTCATATAAAACAGACTAGACTCTTTTCTAGCATAACTCTTCTTCTCGTTTTTCTTTTTCATTTATTAATGGCACATGCCCAAATAAATGAAAAATTGCCTATAGGCCAAAATTTGAAATATAACAAGAGTGAAGTTCACTAGTAATTTCCTAAAACAACACAATTGTATAATTGGATATTTTCGAAATTTTTTTTACCTTTTCACATCAGGAGAATTTGGTAAACTCCGACATTTTCTATTATTTTTACTCTCCCCATGTGATGATGATGAAGAGTTACCCATTCTAATATCCTCATTAAAATTATTTTCTTTTTTTATATAAATTAATCAGCTTTTTTTATCTTATTACTAGGCTTATTTTTAAAATTTACATTTTTATATTTATTTTCTTTTTATTCTAATTTTTAATTAATAAAGTTTTTGTTGTAAAAATTAAATATTTAAATAATATTCTATTATTTACATTATTGTTTTTTTGCTTTTTTTATTCACTATATTATATTTTTTTTTTTAGCACATTCAAATTAAATTATTTAAAATATTATAAAGGAAGGTTAATCTAGTTAGATTTCATTTTGGCAGTAATTTTTTATTTTTATTTTTGTTAATTATAAAATATTTTATACGTATTTTAAAATTATTTTAATTTTTTTCATAATGTAAGCACTAAAATACAAAATTTTTTTTTATTAAAATATTAGAATTACAATAATATGTATATGTGTGTGTAGTGTATGTATGCAGGTAAGAAAGTTATTTTTGAATACTTGAATGGATGGATGATATTGTGTAGTTGAACATAGAAAAAACGAACAAAAAACAAATTCATTTAAAATCCCGAAAATAAAAGAAATCAAAAATTTAAATAACTTCAAAAAAAGGGTATCAAAAAAGTAAACCAAGTAAATTATATAATATAGGACTATAAGTACCGTTAATTTATGTTACAAAAAATTTAGAAAACAATATGCTTGAAGTAAAGTTACGAATTTTCAAATAATTAGTAAATTTTTTTATTTAAATTAACAGAAAACACGAGGGAAACATTCTATAACTACCAAATATTCAGTTTGTCATAAGTGGTAAAGTGTATTAAACGTATAAAACTCCTAGCTTAGGTACTTACAGCAGCCTGTATAAAATTAGTTCAAATGTGTAGCTTGAACATACCGGTAGATCTTAATACTTATACGGAAAATAAGTATTAAGTCTAATATAGAACCATTTACCCTATCCTATTAACTATTATTAGTATTACCCTATTAGTATTGTAAAAAAAAACTAAAGTATTCCACCAATAGATGGTTTAATGCCTTTAAATGAAATACAAAAAGTATAAGTTTCAAAAGTGATTTAGAGTTTATATATTACGTACTTAAGCGATCTTCTGCTTTTTATTAGTTCACTTAATAATTATTTTTCAAAAAGAATTTATTGTATGCAATAAAATAATTTTAATTTAAATGACAAACATCATAATTAATAGTTTTGAATTCACGCAATGTGCAACCAATTAAATTTGAAAAGTTTATACATTTCGTATATTTGTAATATTGTAAGAGCTCAAAATATTGCCTATTTTATTGAATAGAATTGCATATAATTATAATAATTAGTTTCATTTTTGAATTCATTTTAATAAATCATTTTTGAATAAAGCACACTTAATATTAAAATTATTTTAACAATAACTTGTGAAAGTTTCGACTAAAAATAATATACATATATATACAGGCATAGTAATTATCATTTGAATACAAAACTTTTAATCACATTAAATTATTCTGTTTTTGAATAATAAAGGAAAATTATTAAATTTTTTTATCTGTATTTTATTGTAATTCAATAATAAAAGAATTGGAGTAAAAAAAATTAATTTTAACTATTCGAAAACCTAAGCCGTGAATACAACATATTCATATATGTACACATTTCATGTAAATATATATATATAAAAAAAGAGAATATTATACTATGCTTATATTATATGAAATAAATAAATAAAAAAATTTTTTATGTCAATTATATTCAATAAATTCAGATAACTTCATTTAAAACACTTATTTCATATGAGATTCTTCTACTCTAATAAAATTATTTCAACCAGAACAATTTCCGCAACAAAGTATTATAGTTATAATTCAAAACCACGAAAAGCCAAAATACTATGATATTTGAATTAACAACAAAATTCTTATAATAACAACAATAAAACAGTACAAAATATAATATAAAAGAGAACACGTCAATTTTTTGTTGTTATTGTTTTGCTCTTTCAACTAAGTGTGACAGCACATAGAGTGAGTGAATATTAACAACCTATAACCTATCTTACCTAGATTTGTTTTTTTTTTTGTAACAAAATCTACAAAAAATTAGAAGTTAATTTGATGGGATTTTGTTATGTTAAGAATAAAAAAAAAAAAAAAACTACAGAGGTATGAAAATTATTATATCAAAATTATACGGGTAAAGATGTTATATTTATGTAAGTTTGTTTGTATATTGCCACTCTTAAAGTTTCATATCATTAGAAAACCAAGGTCGTGATTTCTACTTATATAATAGGTAAGTCTTTTTGCTTTATAAAATTCAAGATTTTAACATTTTTTTATTTAATTTTTTTACTACACGCTTTATAACAATTTATTCTATTTTTATCAAATTCATATTTCGTACACATGTAGTGGCCGTATAACAGATATTTTTTTGAAGAACGTTATTAAGGTACTTTTGAGAAATTTATTTATGGTGTGAAGAGTTTATTTTTAGGATTAAGTGTGTAAATAATGTGAAAATTTAAATATTTTTGATGTACTACTTGTTAAATTTTGGCAGTACGCATAAAAGATTACAATATGGTTTTAGTCTTAGGAAAATATTTTTGGTTTCATTCTTTGGAGTCAGAAAAAATTTTTTTAATAAAGTCGTTTATTTTAGTGTGAATATTATTAAATTGTCCCAATTTGTCTTAGGTTCGCCGGAGTGGAGACTATTTAATCATTTTATTTGGAAAACGAACAACCCTTACTTCTCCCCTCTCTCACTTCTCGTTCTTGTTATTGCACCTCATAAATTTGGTTATTATAGTAAAAAACGGTAACTATAAAATTAACACTTATCATTTTAGATCCGCAATAACAAATCAAATAAGTACTATTATTTCTGTTAAGTCTTCAGATATGGTTACTATAATCGTATTTTCATACCGTATTT